TTGGGATTTTATAATAGAAAGTAGATACATTAGCGACATACTATGGAAAGTTTAAGTCCGTTTTGTGGACCTCATGAAGAGTAAGCCGTTATATGTGTCAACAAGGTATAATTTTTCATATTGTATGATGAATAAAAGAAGGTTAGACTTACTAATTGTGGACTACGTCATACGTCCCACAGTTTGGGACTTTTTCCCAATAGGAATTTTCGTGGCAAGTATTATAGATCGTTTCTTGGCAACACCATATAATTCTAACAACTTTCATGACAAATACAAGTGAAGACTTGTACTAAGCGAAATGATGCAAACGGTTCCCGCGTGAGTAGCCGTACATGTAAGAACCCCGACTACCAAGTCCATGTACCCGGATGCAAATCTCAGATACGGTACATTTCACTTTCGTCGTACCTATAGTGAATGCTCAGTCAGTAAGCGAATAATCCTTGCAAAGGCACCCGTAAACTGGCGGTCATCTACTCTCTAACTCTTTGCCTTTTATCGCTACTTTAAAATCGTCATCACCCTCAATCGGCTAATGAGCGATGACAGACGAAGCGAAGTTTGCATTACTGAAAGCCCGCAGAGGTTATTAGGTCCATATCGAAAACATATTTTATTGCTCTGAGTGGGAACGATAATCTAACAACTCATAGATAATACAAGCATGGGTCGAGTTGGATCGAGTTTCAAAAGCTACTAAATTCCCTGACGTGGCCAAAATACCCAGGGTATCAAAACGAAAAGCCTCTTTTCATATATAGGCAGTGCAGTGAGTTAAGTCCCATACTGGCGGCTTTTTTAAATAACAAAACACTAGTAAACCGGTTTTCACCATAAATCGAATAGGAACCAAGTCGCAAAAAAAAAAAACAAAAAAACAAATGGCATGATTTTAACAAAATACACTGTCACTACGATTATTATTAAAAGCTTCCATTTAATCAGCCAACGCAATCGACAACTGCACTAAATGTATGCAAATGCACATACGTGTATCTAACTAATATGTTTAACTTTTGCAATTTATTTGTTGTTTTTTGTAAGTATTATAAAAAAGTAAATGAATATCTTCTCTATATGCTCTGCAATATATGCCGTAGTTATATTTAAGTAATATTTACTTAACATGAAAATTAGACAAGTTTTTCCTGTTGGATGATTCGTGCGTGCAACAAAACCGGAAATTTATGTACATGAATCAGTTGTCAACAAAGTTGGCTGCAAAAACAATTTTTCGAACAACTTGTACAAAATTTTTAGCGTATAACTTACCTAATTCATGACTTGCAGACACGCAAAAAGAGGAAAAGAAAGGAAGAACAACAACAAATAACATCATTGCAGCAAAAAATATTGGAAATTGCAAATTAACGGTATTTTGCAATACGAACCGCAGAATATCATACATCACAGCATTGTTTAGCTTGAAATTTTAAATAAGAACACCACCGTGCCAGCTGTGAAATGAATATCAAGTAGATTTTATCTCGGTCAGACTTATAAGAAAGCAACATTTTTGTCTTAACTGGAATCTCTCATTTATAAGCCTCCTTTTTGTGATTGTTCTTTTGTCTTTGGCAAAATATATGTATTTGGAAAAATATTCGGTCCCTTGTTTTTTTGAAATAAATTTTATGAGATATAGCTAGTCTCCTGTAAAACTATATACAGTAGAAGCCAGCCAATCTGCCTGAAGGTGGAAATAGTTTAACAATAATATTGATCATAGTTCACTTGACTTATAGAGTGAAACCTGCTAGAGTCCAGGAATTTCCGCATTACACTCAATTTGCGTAGCTCTCCATAATGTTCAACGAGATTTAATTTTTTCCTTAAAAAATTTGTCAGTTTTGAAATCAGCTGAAACGTTGAGCAAGAATTCGTCCGTAGTTATGATAAGGCGAGGTATACTCTTTAAGGATGTTGGCAAATTACCCTAAAAATGTAAATTAATATATGCACACGCTATGCATGATAGATCAAACCAAAGAGCCTTCAGGCAATTTTTCAATCAAAAACGATACAGACTTACATGTAAGATGAATGAGAAGAGCGTCAGCATTTTTTTCAGTTAATACAGAAGCTAATAAGAGATTCCCGCGTTTAAAATTGTGGTAATCTACTGCGTCTTCAACACACAAATTCCACAAAAAAATCGGACTACAAACGTCGGAGTTGGGGAATGAGTGGCGGAATTTGAAACAGCGAAGAACAAAATTTGCGAGTGCAGCTGCATAAACCGGACGACTACCTTAAGGAATCATGGCCTAGTGATGCTTAGCGGCAATCTGACAATTTTAGCAAGCTACATGAAGTATTCTATAAAGGCTTGTACAAGACACATACGATTTTGTTATTCGCGGACTTACCGTATTGTAGGCTGTCAGGTGTCATCTTTAATCTGAGGGCTTAAAACTTATTTCATTACGATTAAATTCTGGCAGCGTCATATGGAAGCGTAATTTCGAGTCAATAATTCATTTCATTCGACAAGGTGTGGCATTCGACATCATCAATCCTTTCTTCTTTTGCTAGTCAAGCAGTCATATGGGTACACATGTTGCAGGCCTTATCTGACCTCAAGACATTGGTGCTCTATTATAGATCAGCTTTTAACTCGTCCATTTCAGGGGAAAGTAGGCAATATAGTATTTTTAAGATTCTGCATCAAGTCGCCTATGACTGCTTTAAACAACGTCGAACTAATCGGTTTCGTAGGTCGTCTTTCTTTCGGTAGCGAGAAATACTGAAATATTTCTTTTTTTTAAACGTCTATAAATACGATAATGGGCAGGAAGAAAAACGTAGGTAAAGAGAGATAAAAAATGGCCTCAGTATGGCCAGTCGGTATACACTTTAAACTCTTGTTTATCTCTAACCATATTTAAAATAGTGATACCATCTGAAGGTTAGTTTGTCAGTTGCTTGCATTCACTGGCTTATGCAGCATTCGACTTGCGTGGCAATCTCGCTTGGACGTCACGTTGTTTACCCAAGAATTTACTAACTAACGATTCTTAACGGAAATTTCTTTGGAACTGTGTGCATTTAAGAATAAATTTTGATTTCGACTTGATACGTACAAACTGTCTGTAAGTGTTTGCACGAGAATAAAAATAAGCAAAAAGCAACTTTTCGCAAAAACCGCCGCCGTTTAGTTCGAATCTTTACTGTTCAAGACGTTGCACACGCACTTGTCATTCAATCTTTATATTACCCGTAGTTCTGTGGTAAATAGAAGCGTTCCAGAAAAAGTTCTGGAAAGTTTAAAACGTTGTCTCCTTGCTTGGTATTCATTTTGTGTAAATGCGCTTGTACATAGCAACTGGTAATAGTTAGATATTGAACTGTAACTGCGCTACAGTTCTAGTGCAAGCAATATTTCATTACGAAAGCATTGGCGAAAACTAAATTTAATGAACAAAGTAATTAATACAATTACAATTTGCTTGCTATGTGTCAGCTCATAATAGTCGTAGGTTTAATAAAAATTTAGATTTATAGCTAAAAGCAAATGTGTACCGAAGAGTTTTTTAATTTACCCGCAACAACTACAACATATTTAAAAAGAGATTAAAAATTTTCTTCTTATAATATATTTATGATGATCGAATGAATACGTTCCAGTGTTTACGGTCAGCCATAGAACAATTGTTTTTTTCTTTGTTTTTTTTTTTTTTTTTTTTTAGTTGAACGAGGGGGACACAAAGAAGCTTAAGTATAGGGTATAGAATGCGCAACGTAAGCTGCACAACGTTTCGTATGTTCTAGCGGTTTTATTGGTGTCATTAGTAGCTGTATTGCGCGGCTTGCACATTTCCCTTATAAAATTCGTTTTCCACTTCCTGTTCTTGCCACAATTTGTTAGACATATCTGTGAAATACTCTGCTATACATAGAGGGGAGAGTGCTTGATGTAAGTAACTAACTAACTACTACATCCATGAAGAAGGTTCGCATTCTGATTACTGGTTGTTAGCTGAGTATGCAATTTAGTTGTTTTTGTTATTGGCGTTGGTGCTATTGTCGTCTAAACCACTAATCTTAAATAGATGTCCACACGACGGTAACCCCGTACTGTTTTGAGTGTGTGCGCGCGCGCTTGTGTAAGAATGATCAGACCGTTCTGTATTAAGGAAAAAACGGTTGGGAAAGGTATTAGCTCCTGTTGACTGTGCGTATATACGTATGTGTATATATTGGTGTGTGTGTGTGTGTGTGTGTGTAAGCTTGGCTGGCTGTTCACTAAGGAACAATATGTTTTAATTACTTTTTTCCCCACAGGTGGGACATACGCTTACACACACACAAACACACACATGCACGCGGGCACATTTATACTCTAACTGCCTTTTACCGTATATTGCGGTCATTAGTTGTGATACAGTTTCTCAATGCATTGAATGTGTATATGTGTTTGTGCTGTAATGGTCGGTAGTCCAGTAACTTAAAGCCACAACTTTGCAATGAAGTTTTGCTACAGACGAGTCTATTGCCTCATTTTCCTTAAAAGTTTTTCATTTTTCTACTTGCGCTCACAGGTTCGAGGGTTAATTTCAGGTGAAAGCATTTATGCAGATTTTTGCTCGCTCCATAAAAATACGGAACAGCAAGACATTCCATGCATACGCGACTACACAAACGCACACATACGCACAAATTTTTAATAATTTAATAAGTTATTCTAAGCAAAGGAAAATTGCTTGAAATTAAATGAACTTAATTGACTTCGGCTTAACTGCGAACAACAGTTTTATGCTCATAATGCTAAATTTACGTTAATTAAGCTTATGGCCAAAAAAAAAAAAAAAGCCACTTGTATATACCATCAGGTCAGCGAATTCCTAATGTCAGTTTCGTTCGTTCCGTAATGTGTCTTGCAACCAATGTGAAGCGAGCAGTAGCTCGGATAATTGCATCGAAGCAATTAAGCATATTTTCAGAAATATTCCTCTTACTCTGATGTTTGTATTTTTGTTTTTCCTTTTTCATTAAAGATTATCCACGTGTTGAGGTCGGACCAGAGAATCCATTACGTGTAGAACGTGATCGAACTGCTAAACTGGAATGTAACGTTGATGCAAAACCTAAAGTACCTAATGTTCGTTGGACACGCACTGGTCGTTTCATTAGTTCATCTCTGGTGCACACTATACATCGTGTTAGCAATCAGGATGCTGGCAAATACACATGCTCGGCGGACAATGGCTTGGGTAAGGCTGGCGAACAAGAGCTGATACTTGATATACTCTATCCGCCTACCGTCGTTATTCAATCAAAGACACGTGAAGCTGAAGAGGGTGAAACGGTTAATATTCGTTGCAATGTCACCGCAAATCCTGCTCCCATTACCGTGGAATGGCTGAAGGAAGGCTCCCCCGAATTTCGTTATTCGGGCGAAGTTTTGACATTGTCTTCGGTGCGCGCTGAAAACGCTGGAAATTACATATGTCGCGCTGTTAACATTATGGAATCTTATGGTCAAGAACGAAATGAGAGAATAGGTAATTCCACGGTAGCATTATTGGTACGTCACCGACCAGGTCAGGCGTATATTACACCAAACAAGCCGATCGTTCATGTAGGTAACGGAGTTACTTTGACTTGCTCTGCTAATCCACCTGGATGGCCTGTGCCCCAGTATCGTTGGTTCCGTGATATGGATGGTGAATTTTCCACTTCTCAAAAAATCTTAGCTCAAGGGCCTCAATACTCAATACCAAAGGCTCATTTAGGCAATGAGGGCAAATACCACTGCCATGCTGTTAATGAGTTAGGTATTGGTAAAATGGCTACGATTGTATTAGAAATTCACCAGCCACCGCAGTTTTTGGCGAAATTACAGCAACACATGACTCGCAGAGTGGCTGACACAGATTACGCAGTTACTTGCAGTGCTAAAGGCAAACCCGCTCCATCTGTACGTTGGCTTAAAGACGGCGTCGAGATTTTACCTGAACTTAATTTGTACGAAGTAAAAACCAATCCCGATCAAGGACCGAATGGAATGGTTACCGTCCAAAGTATGTTAAAATTTCGTGGAAAAGCTCGTCCTAATGGCAACCAATTGGTACCAGGTGATCGTGGCCTCTACACTTGCCTCTATGAAAACGAAGTAAATTCAGCGAACTCAAGCATGCAATTGCGTATAGAACACGAACCAATCGTTTTGCATCAGTATAATAAAGTAGCTTTCGACATACGTGAAACGGCAGAAGTAGTGTGTAAAGTACAAGCGTATCCTAAACCCGAATTTCAGTGGCAATTCGGCAACAATCCTTCACCATTGACTATGTCATCAGATGGTCATTATGAAATCAGTACCACCACCGACAACAACGACATATATACCTCGGTATTACGTATCAATTCTCTAACCCATGCAGACTATGGAGAATATACATGTCGTGTAGTTAACTCCCTAAATACAATACGAGCACCCATACGTTTGCAACAGAAGGGTTCTCCTGAAAAACCAACAAATACTAGGGCAATTGATGTAGGCTCAAATTACGTCACTCTCGCTTGGGATCCCGGTTTTGATGGCGGTATTAGTAATACCAAATTCTTTGTCAGTTACCGTAGGGTTCCCATGCCACGCGAAGAACAGCTGATACCCGACTGTGCTACTCTGATTACTAGTAACACGGAGTGGATGGAATTCGATTGCCATCGGGATAACCCGTGCAAAGTTACCCCACTCGATCAGCATCAGAGCTATGCCTTTAAAGTGAATGCCCTTAACACGAAAGGCAATTCGCCATATTCTAATGAAATTCTCACGACCACTAAAGTTAATAAAATACCCCCACCACTACATGTTACATACGATCCGAATTCTCGTACTTTGGGCATCAATGTGGGCGCTACTTGTTTGTCTCTTATCGCTATTGTTGAGTCCATGGTGAATAGCGATACGCCTATGGCGGCTTGGGAGATAGTTGATCAAGTCAATTTGCAATTATCCGGTAACGGTCCAACCTTTAAGGAAACCGTTATCGACCGCCTAATAGCGCCACGCCGTGGTTCGGCGGGTCGTTCATTGGGCCATTCGTTAAGCGACGATGACGACGACTTAAGTATGAATACTTTGGCTCTGGAGGATGACAACACCCCGACTGTACGTGTGAAACTATGTCTGCGTACCAACCATGATCATTGCGGTGATTACACCGATGCCGAAAGTAAGTCTAACTCTAACTGTATTGTTGCTATGTACCAGAAGATGTTTTCTCATTAATTTTCACCATATAAGTTATATATATATTTATATTATAAGATTTAACATATTTTTATGTTAAATATTTTAGTTGGTCGTGCCTATATAGCTGAAGCATCTGCCCTAGGAACACCTGCGCTAATAGCCATAATCGTTTCGTGCATTGTGTTTGCTTTGTTTGTTGGTTTGCTACTAATGTTTTGTCGTTGTAAACGCAATCAATCGAAAAAGAGCACAGCAGCCAAAGACTATGAAATGGACTCTGTACGACCATCCATTGTGGCGGCCCAACAGAGTCAAGCGCCGCCACCCTATTATCCGGCGAGTGGCTTGGATAACAAAGCTCTTGAACACTCCATGGACTTGGCTTTAAACATGGAGGATCAAAAGAGTGCCTTGTATGCCACGCAAAATGGTTACAGCTATCATACCGGCAGTGGCATAGTAGGTGGAGGTGTTGGCATACCCGGACACACGATGCCTGGCAATGAGTGTAAGTAACAAAATAAAGTTTTTCACGAGCCATTGTTTTTTTCACATTATGAAACTCTTGTGCGGTTTTTGGAAACAATTCGGCTTACGAATTTCCACGGCACACATCGGCACGAGCGATTTTTCATTTTGTTGTAAGAATTAAGCATAAATAACAAAATGTACACAACTGTGCGACAGCGAAAAAAAAGGTAGAAAATAAAACAAGAATAAATCCCTTTTAAATATACTCAACTTTGTGAAAGGAGATGTAACGCATGTATTGTTGTCCAAGCATCCATCACTTCTCCGCTTGTTGCAAAAAAAATTACTTGCGTACAATCGCCCACACCATGCATTAATGATTTGGCCACTTTGTGTGCTCGCTCTGGTGCAAGTGCGGTACACAATTGTTTTGCATTGTCTGTCAGTACTGCATACATATATTCTTTTTGTTTTTGGTTTGTCGGATGTGGCGGAAATTCGTTAAAACAGCAATTTTCACGCTTTCATGGCGTACGTGTGCAAATTAAGGTGTCACCTAAATGATTCTGTAAAAATGTTAAAATGTTAAAAAAAAGAAACATAATATATTGTTCGGTTTGTCTGGTAATCGTTACGCAGTAAGTAAGTGATTAAATTCTGGAATCTGTGATGTTTTGAGTGCTCTAAGCACTATCGAAGTATCGAAGTGTTACGTAATATACTGCCTTCAACGAATTTTCTTTATATCCCTTTCCTGCTTGAGTTGCGATAATAAATGAAACTTCCGACATAACTCGATTCTATAATCTAGTTATGACGCATAATATTGCTTATGAATAAACAATTTGTGTATACGTAAAGAGAGGAAGCTCCGGTCCGATCTAAACAAAAAAACGTTTACATTCGCCTTGAGCTGAATCGTACCGGTGTACGATATTTGTACGATTTTGATTATAAGACAAAGCGAATATAATTTATATCTATAAGCGATATAAATCGTATAACATATCGCTTATTCCTTACGACTTTGCTGAAACTTGTAAGAGAAAAATGGGAACGAAAAGTAAACCTAGTAAAATTAATTTATCTATGGTAACCATATCCCGCCTCATTTCGTACCTTATAGTGTACATCTTAGATTCTCTATGTTGCAAGGAAGAAATCATTCCAGCTTAATGTGAATCTATTGTAAAGACGAAAACTTATGCATTTACCGATGGTACCAACCGATTGTACGACATACCTTAAGTTCTCTTTGCGATAGGTATAAATTTTTGACGCCTTACTACAATTTCGTTCATTGGTTTTGAAAAAAAATGGAAAATTAAATTCATCAATTCATCGATCGATTGTATGACATCGTGATATGCCTGTCATAAATTTTCTCTCTGGTGTGCTAGCGTTAGTGATAGAAGAAAAATGTCGAAAGTGTTGGAAATAACTAAACATTGTACGTCAATTTTTATTATTTCATTCAAAGTCATTTAGGTTCAATGATGATTTTGGTGCGAACTGAGGCCACACTTTTCAATATTTTAATTCATTTCGCTGCCTCCACTTCCTCTACGACTTCTTTACTTAACAATTAATTATATATTTCACCTTAGCGAGAACTGTTAACCAACTTTACTTAAACGAACGTAAACCGTTAACAATCCTACACCTGCTATAAGAGTGAGTCATACAGATGTTCCAATCTATCCCGTTTCCCGTTCCCATTTTAATAAGGTTCTTTCGTGGACCGAAAACATACCACTTGTAGTTTGAACAAGGGCAGACAGACGAACGATCCGCTTCTCAGAAAAAAAACGGAAAACAATCTACTGGGTTGGCGGCGTTCCACTATTAAACGATTGAATACCCTACACTACTTCGTTTGACACATTTATTCATTTAACGACTTTTCAAAATAAGGCGAAGTAGTCGAAAAACTTCAGCGAACAATTTTGCATTCGCCCTTGGGCCTAAAGGAGGAGTCAGTGTACCAAGTTTCATCAAGATATCTTAAAAATTTTGGTCTGTATGCTGAAGAACGCAAGAAAACAAGACATACAGAAGAACAGAGAGGCAAAAAATGATTCTAAATCCGCCTACCGCCTAGTCAAAGGCAGGCTCACTGCCTGTATTCCAACCAAACTTATAAGAAAAGAATGAAGTCTTGAGTTGATCTAATAAGTGCTTTACTAATTTTTCATGAGAGAGAGGAGAAAATATTGGATAATTACCAACGCAACATATTTTAGTGTATAAAAAGCTTAATAAAATAAGGCGGACCGTTAATATGAGTTAGTCAGCATAATTAGTGACGAGGTATTCAACTTTGATTACTTTACAATCTAAATATTTCAATTATAAAGATGGACTACTTTAATCGTATATCGATATGTTGCAATAACAACATTTGTGTTGCGTTTACACACAACACCGTCGGAAAATTCCAGGAACATAGATTTCAAAGGCAATGCGACGTTCTATACCATATTTGCATCACTTTCCGCAAAGCATGTTGGCTTATGCTGCTTTCATATGCAGTAGTTTATGTTATCGTAAGTTAACATTCTCTGTTTTCTATTGCTATTAAATATCCTCTTGTTTATGCGATGAGCCAAAAACTCCATGTGAAATTCAGAAGATCTACAACTTTCTTAATGCGAATGTGTAAAATGTGTTGGATTGCTTAATGCATATGGCTGCATACTTTCTGCCACGCAGGCTATAACATGTCGTGTGGATATATACAACTCTGACTGACCTTCTAAAGATCCATTTGTTTATTATTACAATCGATTTGGAATCAGTATAGTGTACATCAGTGGTGGTAAAAGGATATGTTAAGTTTTTGTGCATATATGCAACACCCACCATGGCTTAAGGTAGACCCGCATTTCATTATGGCGATCGATGTGGAATCATTTTTTTCATTGATCTAAGCTGCCCTTCCTTCCTTGCGTGTAATCTACAGGTCGCAATTTTTGAGATATTTTGATGAAATTCAGTACAACGCTGTATTTTGGCTTAGAGATGGTTCGGATTGAATCACTTTTTGGATAACACCCCTTATAAAGCCTTATTTTGAAAAGTCTGAAGTGAATGACTGCATTAAACGAAGCGTCGTAGGATATTCGATGATGGGCTGCTTCTTATTATAGTATTTTCACTTGTTTTTTTGCTGCGGACTACAAAGCGTAATACAAAAGATATTCAGCTGAGTGCGACGATTTGAATAGCAGAGGGACAGACAAACATATGTGACAAAATAATTTTTATTTTAGCACCTTTTCTATAGGTTAAATTAAAAAGAGAAATTCATCTTTTATTAAATCCATTAAGAGCATCTAATAATCGCTCTCTACTCAGAATTGAAAAAACCCTACAGAGCACAATTAATATTTATTATCAACACTTCATTTTAATTACGAATTATCCCATAATGAATGGTATGCGTAACCATTTATAGGACATCACTGCCTGTATTGTCGTACACTAAAGTAAAGTTTTGCAAACATTTATAATTAAGAAATTTTAAACGTAAAATCTATTCACACTCTACTACCACTACTATCTATTTTATATAATTAAGTGAACTAAGGTGAAAAATAAGAATGTCGACAAAACTCTTAAAACTTTAGTTTCGAATATTGCACGTATAGTAGTCGTATATGCATCGCATACACACCTTCTATATGAAATGCTATTCAATTTTATATTCAACAATTTTCATTTAGCAAATTATTTAATTCTCATTATCACTTATTGTTTTACGATTCGACATACAGATCAGAAAGGAGGCAGGGAGACTGAAAGCCGCAAACATAGGTTAACGTGTGTTCGTTTATAGCAAAAAGAAAGGATAAAATTTGTTACCAAAAATGACTACACTAGAAAAGTATATTAAAGCAATTAAGAAATTATATACGGTTTAAGGCGATTCTTTTAGTATCTATTGCATTTATTTATTTTTCTTTTTTTCTTTTAAATGAATTTCGAAACTGAAGAAAATCGTTTTCTTTGATATTGCGCAGCAGATCTTTCATTACGGCTTACAGTTTTGATTTGTATAGATTTCTATTTTTCAGTACAGTTTTTTTGATCTGCAGGAAAGCGGAAAGCTAAAAAAATACCCATAGTTCTCAGCAAATGAGAAGAAGAATGATATTTATAACCAAAGAAAATTTAAATGAATTTGTTCCTTCGACATATATCGATATATTTGCGGCCACATTGTATTTGAGAAACTTTATATACCCCTAGAATCGTACACATTTATTCGTATAGGGAAATAACAAGAGCAGACAAAATGTTAAATTACATGCCCATGATAAAGGCGTAAATACTTGCTTATAAGTATGTCAGAGTTTATGTACGAAATGTGTCTTTTCTTGTACGTACACACCACGAATAATGTGCTTATGTGTGAGTGTGTATGTGGAAAGTTTTTCAAGTGTATAACAGAGTTTACCGCAATTACCGACTAAGCAGCAAACATTCATTTGCAGACACAAAACCAGTTTCATTTGGTTTATGTGGATCAATCGTATCTTTAATTGTATACAATGTCTTCACCGTTGTTTCGTTTATAATATAACATTTATTGTTGCCTATATTTAGGCTTACTGATTAAGTTGATTGAAATAAAGACTCAAGTTCATATGATAAACTGCCTAAGTACATTTAAATAGATTTAAAGTGTCCAAATCTACAACTTGTCTATACGAAGAGGATTTGTTTTCGCTTTCACCAATCAAACCATATCAGCGCAGAGTCCTACAATAAATGCATGAATTTGAAGGAAGGCTAACTACAATATACAACGATAGATATGTAAAGTGTTAGTGTACTTTAGATCTGAATGTGTGAGCAATAATATTCATTTTTCTTTGGCTTCATTATGGGACCGTTCCTCCAGTCAATTGTGGTTAGAGCGCCTAAAGATTGGAGGCCAATTCTTCTTTTCTTATAAGATAATAATAACAAATTGTCTATGTTGCTTAGAAGAAGGAAATGTGGATCAAACATAATGCAGAAAGTAGCAAAGGA